TTCAGTATAATGTCTAACATGTATACGGATCAGCCTCAACATTAAAACCACTAACAGATGAAGTGAATAGCATTGATTATATTGTTACAGTGGCACCTGTCAAGGGGTGGGATATATTAGGCAGCAAGTGAAGAGTCACTTTTGGAATTTCATGTGTCGGAAGCAGGAAATACGGGGAAGGGGAAAAGATCTGAGTGACTTTGACAAGGGCCAAGTGGTGCTGGCTAGATAACTGGGGCAGAGCTTCGCCCAAATGGCAAGTCTTGTGAGGTGTTTCTGGGATGCCATGGTCAGTACCTACCAAAAGTGGTGCAAGGAAGGCAACCGGGGTCAGGCTTGTGGGGACCCAAGGCTCATTGATGCACACGGGGAGCAAAGGCTAGTCCATCTGGTCTGGTCAGACAGAAGAGCTACAAAGGGCTGAAAAGGCTAATGCTGGCCATGATGGAAAGATGTCAGAACACTCAGTGCATCGTGGTTTGTGGCATATGGGGCTGCGTAGCCACAGACCAGTCAGAGTGGCCATGATGACCCCTGTCCATTGCCAAAAGCGCTTACAATGGGAATGTGGGTATCAGAACTGGACCATGGAGCAGAAGAAGAATGTTTCCTGGTCTGATGAATCACATTTTCTTTTAGATCGGGTGGATGGCTGGGTGCATGTGCAACGTTTCCATGGGAAAGAGATTGTAACAGGATGTAGTATGGGAAGAAGTCTGGCCAGCTGGGGCAGTGTTATGCTCTGGGCAATATTATACTTGGAAACCTACATGATATTAGGTAGGTGGTTTTAATGTTGTGGCTGATCAGTGTAAGAGTCTCAGAGGGAGATAATACATCTTTCCCTCCCACAAGACAGCTGCCCGTCCCACCTGCTCCTCACAGTCTGGAATGTTTAAAATAGTGAAACCCAAGGAAGCCAAAAGAGTTTGCACTAGGAACCCTGTTTTGTCAGTCGTGTCTCTTTCCCCCTTAGAATAAGCTTCCAACAGAGGTTTGCCAGGCACTATCCCTCTTAGTTTTCAAGAAATTAGTAAAAGCAGAATTACTTAAAGCTGCCTTTTATTAGTGCATTTAACCACTGACCTGAGATTTCCAAATTTGTTTTAAATTGTTTAATTTTATTTGCATTCAGCTTTTTAGTGAGTGGCATGGTTTCATTTATTTTATGGTATATATTGTATATGTCAGATTTAAAGTGTTGGTTATGATCTATAAAACTCTAAACAGTTGAGGACCACCTTATCTATAGAAGCGCCTCTCCCCAAGGGTGTCTACCCATCCAGCCCATTCCTCTAAGGCTGCACTATTGAGGGTACGTACCTTGAGGCAAATAAGGAAAAACAATACTAGGACCTGGGCTTTTTCTGTAGTGGCACCCTCACTGTGGAATAAACTTTCACCAGAAATTAGGCAGATTCCCTCCCTACAGAGTTTTAGATGAGTAAATACTGAATTATTTAAGGAAGCCTTTGACAACATTCTAGGTTTATTTTTGAGACGTGTGTTCTATTGTAGTTATTGATCATTTTATTGTATTTTGTTATTATGTTTTATATAATTTAGTTCACTTATGCCACCAGGTGGCAATCCTCTGTTGCCTTCCTGTTTTTGTTTTTGTTTGTTTGTGGTAATATCTATGCATTATTCTATTATTTTAGTTTGTATGTTTTGCTTAATTATGTAAACTGACCTGAGTTGTATTTCACCAAGTTGAGTAGTTTTAAATACATATATTGTACCAGACTGTGGGTGCGAAGGGTGCGGAAGCCAGGGCCTGGCTGGTTCCGATATGTGGATGACATCACAATTTGGAATCATGGTGAAGAAAAACTGGAAGAATTTCTAAACCATCTCAACAGCATCCACCCAAATATACAGTTCACCATGGAAAAAGAAATAGAGGGCCAACTCCCTTTCTTAGATGTCATGGTCATACGTAAACCTGACCTCCTATCGGGACACAAGATTACAGAATACCCACCCACACAGACCAGTACCTACACAAAAATTCGAACCACCACCCACGACAAAAAAGAGGCTGAATCAAAACACTGGTAGACTATGCAAATCCAGAACTATGAAGCTCAATTTCTCAGCACCGAACTCAACCATCTGAACTGGGCCCTACAGGCAAATGGCTATTTGAAGAATGAAATCACAAGAGCCATCAAACCGAAGAGGAAAAACAGCCACCCACAAATAAAGTATTTCTGCCATACATCAAAGGGGGTCATGGACCACATGAAGAAACTTGAAAAAAACACAACCTACAAACAGTATTCAAGCCCATCACAGAAATACAACAAATGTTACATTCAGCAAGGACAAAAGGGACCCCCTCACCACTGCAGGAGTATACCGGATACCTTGCAGTTGTGGCCAGGTATATATTGGAACCACAACAATCTTCTGAAAAGGACAAAAAGCTGATCCCACAGCTACAAAGGAAAAATACTTAACTATCCAACAAACTGCACTGGAGCACAGAGTTCTGACTCCTGTACTCTAAAGATGCCGGCCACAGAGGCTGGCAAAACATTAGGAATAAAAACCTTCAGAATATGGCCAAACAGCCCAAAAAACCTACAACCACCATCGGATCCCGGCTGTGAAAGCCTTTGAGAATACATTGATAAAAGGTGCTTAGGCTTGAATCAGTTATTTATGTATTGATGATCCCAGAAAGCTAATTTGAATAATTTGTATAAATTAGCTTGTATGTGTATGGATTTGTCCAGTGATCACTGCACACAAAAGACCAGCTAACAACACCCATCAATCACAGTGGCAGATCATCTCTCCCCCTTATCCAACGATACACCCACAACAAAAAACACACTGATCACCATAATCTCCCAATCTTCTGAAAAGGACAAAAAGCTGATCCCACAGCTACAAAGGAAAAATACTCAACTATCCAACAAACTGCACTGGAGCACAGAGTTCTGACTCCTGTACTCTAAAGATGCCGGCCACAGAGGCTGGCAAAACATTAGGAAGAAAAACCTTCAGAATACGGCCAAACAGCCCAAAAAACCTACAACCACCATCGGATCCAGGCTGTGAAAGCCTTTGAGAATACATTGATAAAAGGTGCTTAAGCTTGAATCAGTCGTTTATGTATTGATGATCCCAGAAAGCTAATTTGAATAATTTGTATAAATTAGTTGTATGTGTATGGATTTGTGTGTATTGCCACTATTCCAAAGGTAAATAAATCTCTTCCAATGTATATTTTAGTAATATATTTAATAATTTCTAAATAATTATCTAGATAGTATTACAGATGTATTCCAATTTTATCATTCAATTTGCAAAGAATAGGAAATCCTTTGGCTAATTAATTTTCATTCTTGGCCCTGGTCCAAGGGCAAATAAATTTTGAAACATTTGAACTGTGGGGGAATCTCATCTCTAGTGTTTGGCTTGGGATTTTTTTTAAACTCCCACATTTTTCCATTAGCTTGGAGAAAGGCTAGTTTTTCAAATGTTGCATGACTTCAGTGGGCACAGAATGGAAGCTGCTTTTTTAAATTATATAAAGTTTTCTGGTGGGTTTTGAAGACAAATGAGTGTAATATAGTGTATTTTTAGTCTGGCCAATTGCAAGTACAGAATGCATTTACCTACTGATGATAAATTAGGAATTGTTTGAGAACCCATAAGAAGTGGTAGTTCTGTGTGACTCATAGCAAAATGTTGGACTGTGTTATTCTTTCCCATATTTGTTATAGCCAGATTAGTGTTAGTTTCCTATGGGGTGGGATGTTGTTGGTTGTTTTCTGTGATTTTTTTTTAAACTAGGCTTCCTTTTTCTTCTGACTTCAGTTCTAGCCAAATGTTAGAGTACTGTTTTCTCAGTCCTTACTTTTAATGTTCTAGTTCTTGACATATGTGAAGTTGTTTTGTAACTTTATCATGAAGAAAATGGGGGGATTATGGATTCCAGTGCCATTCTGGAAAAGGCTTGTAGTCAGCTGGCTGAGTGAGGGTATGGTAGGGAGAAACACCTGCAGTTTATCAGTATGAGAGGAATCTCCAAGAGCAAGCTGGCTCATTCTCTTGTATGGAACTAATTGGGAAAATGGTTACATTGAGTGAGGGGAGGGGGAAGAAACTTCTCTTGTCTTTGTGAATGTTGAAAAGAACTCAGCACCTGATTGGAAGGACCTCTGGAACAGTCCAGAAACTGAAGAAGCGTAATGTTTAGGGGGGGGGCTTAAAAGTTACTTTTGTTGGCTTAGTTATCTTTTAGAGAGATGCTATGCTCATTTGCTATCCTGTGGTAAGGACTGCACTTCATGTTTGCTCTGAAATGATGCTGAAGTTACACTAGAGTGTTAAGTACTAGGATATTTTAGCTAGCTTTCTTATTTTCTGATGTGTTTGCTCTGTATTGCTCTTGACTCCAACTCTTAATTGATTATTTGATCCCAACTATTGAAATTATTTTTGATTTTTCCGCTCTTTTTAACCTTTTTGCCATCTTTAATAAAATATTAAAATTTTATTCATATAGTTGTTTTACTATAAGATTTGTGGTACTTAAAACCAGATTTTGCCTTGTCCATCTACTACGAGCCTGCATGTTTTTGGGTGTGGTGGCATTTCTACCTTGCAGAGTTGGTGTAAGAGTCAAAGTGCTTAACCTTGAAGATTTTTTGGAACTCCCTAGAAGCACTACTTAGTTGGGTATTGGGAGGGTGCTGGGCATGTAAATTACCCCTTCATCAGCACATTTGATCTTCATGGTTTCACCCACACCAAGACAACCAGGGTACTATAGCTGAGTGGTTAGTGTGGGCTTTCCTGAACTCAGGGATCCTTGACACTTAGTATTAGTATGGATTTGTAACAGAAACGTACCATTTCTTCACCCTTCAACCTTGCCCCCTTTCTCTTGCCCTGTAAATACAGTATGTATGAATAAGAAATTATAGTGATTAATCAGATTTACTAGGGTTCATATTTGGATTCTTGATTGTTTTTGTTCTTAGGGACACCATTGTTGGTCAGACGGAGCAGTGATCCTGCACTGGGCCCACCTGCTGACTTTCCTGCTGGTGCTTCACATGCCAATGACCATGGTCTGAAGTCTTCTGTTTCAGTAGGTATCTTGATGAAATAAAGATAGAAGTCTTCATTATATACATGATTTGCTGAACACTCATCGTGGTAATTAATTTAAGGAAAAGTTTCATGATATCCATTTATAGATGAGTGAACTATAATAGGCAAAACATGTGGGACATTTTTCTTAGCAGAATTGTCAGTAGTACTAGCAGAGGCACTCTTATGTGCATTGTTGTTTATCTCGTACATGCACAATTACAAATAATTAATTGGAAAACTAAATTGCACATGATCAAAATTTGTAATGCAGGCTGTGTCAAGAGCATGAATTGGGGTATTCAAAAATGAACAATTTGCAGTGCACGTAAACCAAAAGGATGTTACAACATGTGCTCAAGCAAGTATTTTCAATCTCGTCTTCTTAGTATTCAACTGGATTGTTTTCTTGAAGTTAATAAACTTCGCATCAGGTGTTGCTCAGAGATATAAACTAAATGTTGCTTCAATAAACTGTAATAACCTCACAGATTAATTGCCATATATTTCTCTAAAATTACATTGGAAATAATATTGAAGGCTTGCTGAATGTTATTACCATATGATAACAATGCTAGTGATTATGTTGAATTTAGTACTAATTTTAAAAATCAAGTCAAGGTTAGAAAATAGCTATAAATATTCATATGTATAATAATATTTATTCAAAAATGTCTTTCTAAAAAAACCTCAAATACATTTAACATACCTGGAACAGTAGTTCGGATGAGCACACTTAACGGTTATTACAAATGTTGCAGTTGTTTTGTTACTTTTTAAAAGTGCAAGAGAAGGCACACTTTCCAGGTTTGAGAGCTTATAATACATTGATTTATTGAGGATGCTACTCCCGGGCCTCTTATTACAGACACACAATAATGTGTGACTTTTCTTTCATTGTAAGACCTAGTGGGCCGAAATCCTGTTGCTTAGTGCCAGCCATATCATAGCCTTAGGTCTGTACTCCCTGGTAAGTTAACTGGCCCTGCTGCGATTTTCAAGGGGTGTATGTGTACTCTGCCTTGGTGCACATCTATTGTCCCTGCCCAAGAATTGGGAGGGAGGACTGGAATGAAGAATCCAACTTGGCTTACACCAAGCAACAGGGTTTCAGCCACTATTATACATAGTGACATATACTGACAACAGTATATGTGAGAATTATATGGAATTATCTCTTGGTTATAAATGAGCAATGTAGTGGTGGTGTTCTCAGCCCATTTACTCTTGATGTGGATTCTCTCCATTACAGAGATCATTAAAATAAAAACCAGAAAAGTTAATTGTAGCCTACCTCCGCTGAGTACCTCTTCAGCTGTCCTGCTCCCATTTTTTTTTTCAAAGACCTGTGTCCTCCGGGAGTGATGGGAGTTGTGTAGGGAAGATGAGAGTTTACTTGTTGAACTGCTTTGGTCATTCAACCACCACTAGCATTACAATTAAAACATAAACGCAAATAGAAACATGTACACCCATGGAGTGTTAGCTTGGCAACATAATGCTAGTAAGTTTAAAAAGTACAAATGCAAATACATACATTCACAAAATACTGAAAGTATTTGAAAGTATGCAGCTCTGGCTGTTCTGCAAGAGGCAATGTAAAAAATTCATGTAATGCTGTAATGGCTAGTTTCTGTAGCAATTCCTAAGCATCCACATGCAAATTGCTGGACAACCTGTACAATATTTTTAGATGTTGTTTTGGTCTCCCCCCCCCCATATGTAAAAAAAGAACTTCTCTGGATGGAGGATGCCTTGCACTTGGAGTAAGGTCACAGTAGTATTGGGGATTGGGAAGTGAGGAACATCCCTGTCCTAGTTCATGAACTGCCTCTGGATCCCTGAAACGTGGCATGAGGCATCCCTCACCCCAGTCTACAATCTGTGTGTGCTGTCAAGTCAATTCTTGAGCCTTTCCAGGGTTTTCTAGGTAGATATTACTCAGAGGTGGTTTACCATTCCCTTCTTCTGGGGGTACCCTGGGACTGTACAGCTTGCCCAACGCCACACAGGCTGGCTCTTCTGGGTTGCACTATGGGAAACTCCCAACCTCTGATTCTTCACTGAGCTATCCAACCAGTGATCCACAAGTAGTGCCTGGATCAAATACAGTATAATAATGCTCTTCCAGGTGCTGCATTTCATTAATTACTACACATATCTTTTTACGCTAATATGGATTACACTTCAATCTCTATTAAAATGTTAGGAGTGAATATGAACAAACTCTAGTAACTCCACCTCCTTAAATGTGCATTAAAATTAGTTTCCTTTCATGCATTCTAGATGCGTGATTTGTAATTTTAAAAAGGTTTATTAATCAGAAGCTTTTTATGTTTCAAGTTCTTAGTTCTTTAAAAAAAGGTCATGCCTGTGGTTTTTATGCTACTAATTGTAATTTTAAAGTATTAGCTATTGTGATTAAGTGTTCCAACATTAGCATAATATATATCATGTGCTAGCTCGGTTGAGAGCATTGCATGTAATTTTATATGTTTGGAAATGAAACAGGTTTGCTGTTGAAAAGATTACATGGGAGATATAGCTATATCAGTCACCCAGTTAAAAAATAGCTCACAATGGGTATGTCTTATTTTCCTATAAGGAGAGGGAGTTACCTTTAAAACAGTCTATTTAAATTTTAAACTGGTAAATCACACACATGGATGGAGTGTTTCTTGACCCAGTGAATTAATAGCTATAGAATTTGTACCCCCAGCTGTTCAATTAGGCTTTGGTTAAGAGACTGAAATGTTATATGTGACTGTGTTTTCAATATGATTATATCTCTGTGACTAGTATTTTTCTTGGCACTGTTCTGTCTGCGGACAGCTTGGGAAGTGGTGTATGGGTTCCTGATAAAATTTAAATATGTGTATGGAATGTTAGGTTTCAGGTGGAAGTGTGGTATCATGAAATGTATACCTGGCTGTAAGTTAATGACAAGTAAGTTAATAACAAGTACAGAAAGTGGCTGTGCAGTTGACACATAGAAAAATGGTTCAAGGTTTGACAGTACATTAGAACAGTGGTTCTTAACCTTGGGTTACTCAGGTGTTTTTGGATTGCAAATCCCAGAAGCCTTCACCACCAGATGTGCTGGCTGGGGTTTCTGGGAGTTGCAGTTCAAAAACACCTGAGTAACCCAAGGTTAAGAACCATTGCATTAGAAAAATGGTTCAAGGTTTGACAGTACATTTTCTGGATTGTAAAAAGTTAACTGCAAGGCTTGTACAGTCCTGTTCCTGATACAGAGCTCTGTAGAAGATGAATGCTAATTTATTTTTCATTTTTAGTGGTCCAACAAAGGTATTGCCCAACCTGGAACTCTCTAATTAATGAGTTATGCAAGAGTGTCTTGTACCTATAAAAGTATGTTGTATTTGTAGTTAGTGAGATAAAATTACACCTGCAACTTTTAGAAATAATTTGGTGTATCTAATACAGTTTAAACAGTATTCTGGAGATCTAGTAAGATAGTCTTGGATGCACACTCTAACACGGTAAGAAGGTTTGAGTATATCAAGGAACCAAGAGCAGTGTTGCCCGGAGGCTAGACTCCATTACAACTTTGGACTTCCAGCAGGATCACCAAGGGAGAATATTCGCTGCTGAAGCACTAGACTAAGATATCTCCACCATCTTCAGGATTAGCAGTCAAATCAGGAGAAGAGAATGGGCACTTACAAAGAAAAAAGCAAAGTATGCTGTTTCTATACCACCCCATAGTGCTTCAAGCATTCTCTGGGCGATTTACAAGTTAATTATGCAGGCTACACCTTGCCCCCCCCCCCCCAAGCCGGATACTCATTTTACTGACCTTGGAAGGATAGAAGGCTGAGTCAACCATGAGTCCGTCGTGAGCACAGTTTTGGCTGCAGTGCAGCAGTTTAACCACTGCACCATGAGGATCTTCCTGAGGTACCTCAGCGATGAGGATGGAGAAACTCCTGGAGGGCAAATATTGGGCAATAGCAATAGTGGCAAATGACACTGGCAGAGGATCTTTCACATAGAATGGCAGTGACACTCCTATTAAGCAATATTTAATTAGATTTTTCTCTTTCTTCTTTTCTAATCTACTTGTTGTTGTCTCCTTGATTATCCACTCATGATATAGCTAAAATTTGTTTTCTGTTTCCCTCCTGTTTCCTCTTTGCTCTTCTTGGCTCACTGTCAACATTTCCCTCTCTTTTACTTACACATTTCTTCTATAGTCAAGGTTCTTTATTTTTACATTCTTAGCCAGGATACAAACATGCTTGCTAGATAGTTAGTGGTGACTGCGACCTTTGATAGGGAGTCATAGAATGGGGGGGAAAACATCCCTACAGTCATACGATGCCAGGGAGACATCCAGAGAGCAGTTTGAAGTTTTTGCCCCTGAGTAACTCCAAAACACTGCTGGTTCTCAGGGATAAGGTCCCTCCCCTCCTCTGGCTTGAAAAATGGGCACAGTTCTGTCCTGTTGGTAATTAGAAGCACTATTGAGGGTAACTGGCATTTGCCAACTTTTATCCTTAATCATTCAAATTTTTTAAAATGTCTATTGATGGTATTCATTCTTCAGTTCCTTCTTTCATTTTACCTTAGTTAGATTATTATAATCCATTGCCTGCTGGCTTATTCTGATCTCATCTTAGGCTTCTTACGTCTCCCTTTCATTCTCCTGTTTCTTATTTTTTTCAGCTTATAAATTTTATCATGTCATTTGTTCTTTATCCACTCAGTATTCAGTTCAAGATTTTATTGCTGACTTCTAAGTGAATCCATTTCATATTTTATACTTTTGTGTTTTCACTTTGTTTCCTTCTACAGTTTCTATCATCCTAGAGCTCTCCCCTCCTCGCACATTTCCTTTCTGAACCTTGATTCTCCCCCCTCCCACCGTATCCTTCACAGAATGTTCATTTTCAGCACTCACTCCATTTGAAATGGCTTATTGAGATCCAATCCTTTCAGTGTCTTTAAGCTGCTGAGAAACAAAACCAAGAGACC